ACAGGCCATGTTCAAGTGGCAGTTCCCTCTGCCAAGAATACCCTCGGGAGGGACTCAGCCCCAGTGGCACATTTACATCTACAGTGTGTGGCTTACCTGGGAGGCTGGGTGCCGTGCCACAGCCACAGTGCCCAGCTCCTGTTCCCTCTTGCTCTCAGTCTGTGACTTGCACAGTACCTGGCCAGTAACCAACAGTCTATAGCCAGTGTTTGTCTGCTGAATGGGGAATATACACAGTAGATAAGGTGAAAGGACTTAGGTCTTTAAAGACAATTGGAGGCCTTTAGAAGAGAAACATTAGCTTTCTAAAAGAAAAGCCAAGAAAAACTTCAGTAACAGCAATTTTTAACTGTTCCTATTGCTATGCGTACAAGGAGTAGGGCAGGAAATTTGTTTCTTGAATAAATAAAAAAGTAAATTGGGGTAATAAAATCCCCCCACAATTTTACTGAGTCTAAATGATCTGTCTTTAAAAATCTTAAGGGATGCTTGTTTTCCCCCTCTTTCTTGGTGGAAATCAAAGGTATATTGAGGACCAGTTGCTAGAGGTAAGATCCAGATGCACCCTGCTTAGTTTAGGCACCAGAGCTCATCCACACCTGGGTGCTGGGAACTCCCTTAGTTCTTTACTTGTTCCTGTGTGATAAGGAGAGGACACTCTGTCTAGTCCTGGTGCAGTCTCCTTGCTGGTCCTGAATCCAGGCTGTTAGGAAGGAGCCTTATTGTCAGTAATTGTACAGTGGCATACATTTCCTTTTTCTGAATTTTTGTCTTTCCTGGATGTAGTAAAGATCCCATGAATAAAGAACATCCCTATTTTATCAAGGGGGCAGTTTTTGGTTCTGGTGATCTCAGACTCTTGCTTAGTTCTGAAACTATTCGTGTACTTAAGAAGATCTGTATTTGTTGACTATACAGGGCAAAAACAAGAAGAAACTTTAGCATGATCGATTAGCAGCTATGCCATTTTGGTGTATCGAGTTCTTGGAATATCTGTTGGGTTTTGTGTGCTTGTTAGCCTTTTTCTCGGGATGCATTGTTTTGACTGCTTAGGCCATACGCATGTGGAGCGGCTGCTTGCCTTGGCACCAGTTCTTCACAAGTGTCAGTACCTGGAGGATCCTGGAGGGGCAAGATCAAACTTTCTCCCATCCTCGACATCATAGCGTTAGAACACTGAAGACTAAATAATTTTTTAAAAAGTCTTAGGTTTTAAATTTATGTAGAATTTCTGTTGTGTTGAGTATGATTAGTAACTAGAGCTGACAGGAAGTGTCCAGTAGGAAGTGTATAGGTGATTATAGACAGTACCCCATTTTTATAAGGGGCTTGAACATCTTTGGATTTTGGTATCTCAGAGGTCCTCTGTCTAATCCTTCATGGATACCAAAGACCAGTGTAATTCTTAGGAAAAGTGATTCATTCTTCTTGGACGGAAGAGACCTAGTATCCTAGGGTGTTTCTGTGTTTAAACTTTGCCTTACTTTCCTGCCTCATTGAGTCAAGCTTCTAAGTTTGCTATTCAGTTGCCTGAGGGTTGTAGTGTAGCTCATGGCCCTGCCCTTCTGACCTTTAGGAGTCTGTTGAGATCCAGTTGCTGAGCCCTTTTTCTTATGTTGCCCTCTTGATGCAGTTTCTCCATAACATCTGTTCTACCTAAGTAGTTTCTGCTTTCTGTTTTTTTAACTTGTTCCTTCTGGAAGGCTTGTATTGCACATGTTCACTTACTCTGGGAGAGTTCCTTACATTAGCTGCTGATGGATGTTTTTTTGATGAATCGTTTTATGTAGATAAATGTATAAATATATAACACATTAATGAAGTGTGAAGCTGTCATGTTTATGGAGGTACATTAATTTTATACTCATTCTGGTAGGTGTGGTAGTAGAGTAGCCTTGAATCACATAAAGCAAGTTAATAATGGGCCCAGGAAAATTGTGTCCAGTGTCAAGGATACTGTGAATGGCTTCAATCCTGGCTTCATTTACACTTGGTAGCTTCTTACATTTTTAATTAAAATGAAAGAAACAGCTATTTATAAATGTAAATTTTTTAAAAAGCCTTCTAATTTGTGTAACGAATCTACAGAACAAAAATCAAGGTGTTGTAAGGAATTCTTTTTTTTTTTAAAGATTCTATCCCACTATTGTCATAGCCTGATGGCAGTCAAGCCTCAGAACTGTCAGTAAGCAGCTGCAGTGGAATACAGCACTGCAGGAAGAGTTCCTCAAGATTCCAGAGCAGTCAGACAGTGGGACTTTTGCTTCTGGTTAGCTCATCTGGAAGAGGCTTGCCTCTGGGAGCTGAGTCACTGTCTGTCTGAGGCTAAGGTGGGGGCTTGGAGCAAGCCAGCTTGCATCTGCTCTACAAGTTGAGAGAGAGAGAGAGAGAGAGAGAGAGAGAGAGAGAGAGA